GAATCAGGAAGATTTTATTGTGTTTTTTACGGTGCTCTCTCTAAAAGTTGACTCTACAGCTGAGTAGCTTTTCTGCATGGGAACAAGTCACTTTCCTGCTCCAAGATTCCACCTCTGTAAAATGAAAGGAGTGGCCCCTTTTCAGCTCTGAAATCCTAGTCATGCCGTGATGATAATGCATGATGTGGGAGGACGGAGGAACTGGAATTATCATTTGTCTTGACTCCTTCCCGCTTTCCTACTGCTGCCCTCTCTGACACTCCCCTTAGAGTATTCCCAAATCCCTCCCTTCACTCCCATCCCCTCAGTGTGACTCATCTGATTAAAGAAGTTCACATCAAAGTGTGAATGACTTATAACCTTCACCTCCCCAAAAGTAAGGATATTGAGAAGGAAGAAGCTTGGTAGGATTTAGATTTTTTTTTCAAGATTTTTTAAAAAAAGATTCCAAAAATTTTCAGTGAACAAAAAATGATTTTTTCTTAAGCCTCTGTATCAAATATGCTATAGAGTCAAACCAAACAAATTCCCTCATAAGCTATGTTCAAAAAAGGTTTGCCTCATTCTGTGCTAGAGGGAGTCCATCCCCTCTCTGTCTGCTGCAAGCTGCAGCATTAAGGCGTTAGATCTTAAAAGATTATTTGCTGATTTAGTAGAATAAGAGAAAGATTTCTGAATGTGTCCTTGAGCCTTCTCTGTTCCCCTTGCCCACCTTAGACAAGCTTCCTTCTTTACTCCCTCACCCCCAATGTGACCAAAGAATACATTTTTTGATCATCTACTCGTAAAAGGTGGATAAATCTTTTCAAACTCTTTAGTCAAGCATTCGAGGTCCCTCACAAACTGGTCCTAACCTACCTTTCTAGCCTCATTTATCGTTACTAGAGTGTAACGGAAAAGCCTTGATCCCAGAGTCAGAAGATCTGATTTCAAATCCCATTCCTGATACCTACTGCTTATGTGATATTGGGCAAGTCTATTCATCTTCCTGGGCCTCAGTTTGCCTATCTATAAAATGAGAAGGTTAGACTGGATAGCCCCTGAGGTCCTTCCCTTCCAGCTCCAGAGCGTTTTATATACCTCCCCCCGCCCCCATACCAACACTCCAAGTCAAACCCACTGCTTACTGAAAACCTCCTACACTTTCCCACCTGTGGGCTCTTCCTAATGCCGTTCTCCAAGCCTAGAATGCTCCTGGCCCCTTCTCTGCCCATGGGAATCCTAATTGTGTTTCGAGGCCCTGCTTAGATGCTCACATATCTCATAGAGATTTTTCAGTTCCATACCGAATCCCTGAACACTGGGGGAGATACCACATTTAGCTAAAGCTTAATCCTTGCCTTCAGGAAGCTTCCAGTCTAGTAAAGGGATCTCTCTCTTTCTCTTTTTCTCCTTCTCTGTCTCTCCTTCTGTGTCTCCATGTCTCTCTCTGTCTCTCTCACACATACAAACACACAAGTTAACTATAATGCAAAATAATACAGGAGAAAGGTAGAATAGTGAATTCTGATTGTTGGACATATCTCCCTTTCTACCCATAAGATGGAGTCATTCTTAGTGGTGGTTATCGTGGAAGGCTGCCTGAAGGAGGTAGCATTTGAGTTGAGGCTTAAAGGATGAGTAAGGATTCACCACGCCAAGGAGTTGGAGGAGGGGAGGCATTTGAGGCACAGGTAGTATTAATCTGAAGGTCTAAAGGGAGGAAAGTATAGGTTGTGGCCAGGAGAGGGTGAGAAGTCCAGTTTGGCTGGAGCATAGAGTGCATAGGAGGGAACTGTATGAAAAGAGCAATGACAGGTAGTGGGAGGCTTTGCTTGCCAGGCGGGGAGTTTGACTTGGACTTGGGAGACAAGAAGTCACCACTGAGAGGTTTTGAATGAAAAGAATGATGGAACGGAAACTGTCTGGCAAGAGATTAGATCGGAGGCAGGGAGAGAGCCAACGGGGGCCGGCCCATTTTCCCATGTATTTCTCTTACATGTTATATGTGCCTACGTATTAATTTATGTATGTGCTGTCACCTCTGTTAGAATGTAAGCTCCCCGACGGCAGGGACTATTTCATTATTTTTTGTGTATAGAAGGCTTCCGTAGCAGTCTGTCGCAGGGGAGGGTGCAATGAAGGTTGTCAGCAGGGAGGTGGAAAGGGCTTGTTCCTTCACCAGTGGGAACAGACAAAAGAAGTTGGAATGGTGGAGGGGGTAGACTCATCTACACTTGTCATCTAATTATTTATGGGGGAAGAGCCTGAGAGAATGTCAAGGTTTTGAAGATGAGAGACAAATCAGTAAGTAAGCCAATTAATAAGCATTTATTAAGCCTGGCACTGTGATAGATGTCAACATATTAAAATGAAGCAGTTCCTGCCCTCAGGGAGCTTACATTCTAACATGGACAACAACGCATACAGAAATTAATATATAGACATATATAATATATAAGAGAAATGCATGGAAAAAGTATTGGGGCAGGGAGGTCACTGACAAAAGGCTTCCTGGAGAAAGTGCTGTGGGAGCAGAGCTTCAAAGAAAACAAAGGTCGCTAAGAGGTGGACGTGATGAGGAAGTACCTTCCAGGCACAGAGGAGGACCAATGCAAAGACATGGAGGTGGGAAATGGAACAGCAAGGAAGCCAGTTTGACTAGGCTACAAGTGCAGGGGAGTAATATGAAAAAAAAAGGAACAGAAACAGAGAAGGCAGAAAGAGGGGCAAGTTTGGAGAGGAAAAGTGGTGAAGCTGGTTTGGGATGTCAAATGTGAGTATTCAGTAGATATCCAGGCAGAGGTGTCCTGTGATCATAGCAGTTGGAATTTAGTCAGTCAGTAAACTTTTACTAAGCACCTACTGTGTGCCAGGCACTGAGCTAGGAGCTGAGGATACAAAGAAAGGCAAATGACAGGAGCTCACAGTCTAATAGGGGAGACAACATGCCAACAACTGTTTACAAACCAGCCACAGACAGGATAAATTGGAGCTCAACAGAGGGGAGACCCTAGCATGAAGGGGATCAAAAAAGGCTTCTTGTGGAAGGTGAGATCTTAGCTGAGACTTGAAGGAAGCCAGGAGGTGGAGATGAGGAGGGAGAGACTTCCAGGCATGGAGGACAGCCAGAGAAAATGTAGAGTTGAGAGATGGAGGCTCTTGTTTGAAGGGCAGCAGGAGGCTGGTGTCACTGGATTGAAGAGTATGCATTGAGGCATAACATGTAAGATGATTGGAAAAGCATGATTTTTATATTTGATCCTAGAAGTGATAGGAAGCCACTGGAATTTATTGAGTAGATGTGTGGCATGTGTGGCCCTGCAATTTGGTAGGATTAGTTTGGCAGCTAAATGGAGGATGGGTTGGAATGAGGGGAGACTTGAGGCAGGCAGACACTCCCCCACCAGCAGCTATTGCAGTAATCTAGGCATGAGGTAATGAGGGCCTGGACTACGGTGGGGGCAGTGTCAGAGGAGAGAAGGGGGTATATTGGAAAAATGCTGCAGAGGTGAAAACTACAAGAGATACTGTGGAAGTGAAATCTGCAAGAGATGCTGCAGAGGTGAAATCCACCAGAGATGCTGCAGAGATGAAATCCACAAAGATGCTGCAGAGGTGAAATCTACAAGAGATGCTGCAGAGGTGAAATTGATAGGCCTTGGCAACAGATTGGATACAGGAGGGTGAGAAATAGTGAGGCATCCAGGCTGACACCTAGGCTGGGAGCCTGAGGAACTAGAAGGATGGTGATACCCTTAAATATAATAAGGAAATTAGGAAGGAGGAAGATTTGGAGAAGAAAGATGAGTTCAGCCTGGGGCATATTGAGTTTAAGATGTCTATGGGACATCTGGTTAGAGATGGCAGTTGGAGATTCGACAATGGAGGTCAGCAGAGAGGTTTACAACAATCCTCATAACAATAGGTACTATTATTGTTCTCATTTTATAATTGAATAAACTGAGGTGCATAGAAGTTGAATTGTTTGACCTAGGTCATACAGCTAATAAGAGTCTAAGACAGGATTTGAACCCAGGTCTCCATTACTCCAGAGGGACAGACCTCTACCTACACCATGCTAGAGCTCAAGAGAAAGAGCATGGCTAGGAATGTTGGTTTGTTCATCATTGGTGGAGAGGTGACAGTGACTATAACAGGAGGTATACACACACACACACACACACACACACACACACGTATATACATATACATATATGCATGTATATGTATATAGTTGGCAAAGGAGTGAGCAGAGAGAGAACAGAAGAAAATGGAGGAGACAAGAGAGGAGGTGCTTAGGTCCTTGCCTTCCAGCTCTCTTTGGGGACACACAACCCTGACTGAAACTATTACAAGAGGAAAAAAAATTTAAATTGTTTGGTCCAAACTTATGATTTCTTTGGGGTAGGGAACTCCTGCAAAGAAACTCTCTCTGCCGATGCAGCTCAGTATCTCATTTCAAATTGGAGGGTTACTTAACCTGATCTGTTTCTTCATCTGTAGAATGAGGGGGGTTGAATAGAAGGCCTCTGAAGGCTCTTCCTTCAGAGGTTATGTATGAGCCTATTATCCTGACATTTCACCTTTCCAGGCCTCAGTTTCCTCAACTGTAAAATGAGGGAAGGGGCCTTTTCAGCTTTCAACCTGCGACCCCCTGAATTCTGCAACTTAGAACATCAGAGTTGCTTGGGACAGAGTGAGGTTCAGTGATTTGCCCGGGGTAACACAGGCAGGCTCTATCAGAGAACCTGGGTCTTCCTCACAGAATGGTTTATCTGTGCTAGACTGCGAGGTGCGGACTCCTTAAATGTGATGGAAGCTGTCAGAGGCAGGGGGGTAGTCTGGAGTGCCAGAGAAGCAGAGACCATCTATGGCGTTTTGGAGGAGAGCATGGGAATCCCAGTAGGAGAAGGCTTCCTACAGAAGTGGGAGCTGTGAAGGCCCTCCCAGCCCCAGGAAGGGAGCAGGGGGCTCCTTCACTTCCTCAGGTCACTGAGCCTTCTGGGCTCATATTGCAGGCAGAAGACTGCCAGAGACATGGACCATGCCGAGCTGCTTGGGGCCGGAGTCACCCTTCTGCTACTCGGGGCTGTGGTGGGCATGTGCGTGTGGTGCCCTCGCTTAGGTAAGGCACCCAAGTCCCCCAGGCTCCCCCTAGTCAGGTCCTAGCTCTATGTCCCTGCCCTTTGCCCCTGGACAAACCTGCTCTGCCAACTGTCTCCTCAAAGGGAATGAGTGTCTCCTTTCCTCTCTAGTCCTCCCCGGTGGAGCCATGGGCTTTTTTTTTTTTTAAGCCAAGGGCTTCTGCAAGGAGGATGAGGGGAAGAGTTAGAGGTCCTTTGGCCCAGGAATAATAATAACAATTATAGTTATATAGACATATTATCTCATTTGATCTTCACAACAACCCTGGGAAGTAGGGGCTTTCATTATCCCCATTTTACAGATAAGGAAACTGAGGCAAAGAGAGGCTAAATGACTTGCCCAGGGTCACACAGCTAGTAAGTATTTGAGGCTGGATTTGAACTCAGGTTTTCCTGACTCCAGGTCCAGCGCTCTATTCACTGCAACCCTAGCTGCCTCTAAGGTCCAGCTCGAAGGCTAGACTTTCCTTTAAGCAGAGTCTGGAGGGCCATATGGCATGTTATGGTGGGGATTCCTTTCTGGGAATGAATTAGACTGGTTGGCTACTAAGCTCCCTTCCAATTCTCAGATTCTGGGATCTTATAACCCTCGCTATCTACTATGGGGCTCAGCTTTCTCTCCTATAAAATGATAGGGGGAGCCAGTAAGTTAGTGAATCAAACAATTATTAAGTGCTTACTGTATACCAGGCACCATACTGGGTAGGACTCAGTGACCTTAACTAAGGTTCTCCTCCTTTCCATTGCATGGAAAGTGGGAGAGACCACCCAGTCCAACCCTTTGCTTTAGCAAAGTAGGAAACTGAGGCCCAGAGAAATGAAAGGACCTGTAGTAAGCAGCTAACTCGGGTTTTGAACCCAGGTCCCTTGATTCTAAATTCTCTCCACTCAGTGCCTTTAGGATACGCACTTTGGGGTCTTTGTCTTAGGGACCACCTTTCTACCTCACATGTCCCATCTGGAGCCCTCTTTGACCAATGTCCTACCCTATAGCTTGGCCTTGGGGCCTCAGGGCTGAGGCCTCTCTCAAGAAGCCTGCTCTTTGGGAGGAGCCCTCTGGGCCAGGCCTCCCTTTGCTGCTAGACTCCCAAGGCACCTTTTCTTCTCCTAATGTGGAATTTATTCTTCCAGGTACACGAAGGTCCAAGCAGATCTTTTATGAGCAGAGGTAAGTCCCCTTCCCGCTCACTGACCCTACTCTGAGTGCCTGCTGGGGCCACGGCATGGCACTGGCCGCAGCTGATCCATCTTTCCCCCACGGGCTTCTGCATCCATGGGTGGCCATGCATTTTTTGTGTATCAGTCCCCAGCTGTGCCACGCACAGCCTGGGTGACCACGGATGAGGCCCTTGATGGCTAACATTTCAATAGCATCTTACGGTTGGCTATGTAAGTAATATATAAATGTGTATGTGTGTGTGTGTGTGTGTGTGTGTGTGTGTGTATGTGTGTGTGTGTGTGTGTATGTGTGTGGTTCTCACAACAACTTTGTGAAGTAGGTGGTATTATTATCCCCATTTTGTTGGTAATTGTTGTTCAGTCATTTCAGTGATATCAAACTCCTTGTGACCCCCTTTGGGGTTTTCCTGGCAAAGATACTGGAATGGTTGGCCATTTTCTTCTCCAGATCATTTTACAGATGAGGAAACTGAGGCAATCAGGGTGAAGTGACTTGCCCAGGGTCACACGGTTAGTAAGTGTCTGAGGCCAGATTTGAACTTAGGAAGATGAGTCGGTCTGACTCCAGGTCTGGCACACTATTCACTGCGCCTCATGGCTGCCCTACCCTCATTTTACAGGTGAGGAAACTGAGGATAAGGGGAGATGGAATGACTTGCCCGGGGCCTCATAGCTAGTAAGTGTCTGAGACGGTCAAATTCAGATCTTTTTGACTCCAAGTCCAGAGCTCTAACCACCATGATACGCTTCCTCCCGACCCTTACCTTCTTAACTTCTCTGGGCCTCAGTTTCCTCATCTGTAAAATGAGAGGGTTAAATGACATGACCTCTGAAGTCCCTTCCCACTCTACTGCACGTTTGTATATATCCAGATCCACTGTGTATCTGTATGCGATGTGGGCAGGTCTACACTAATACTCTTAAGACACCCAGGAGTGTTTCCCCGCTATATTTCTCCCAGCTTTTGTTAGCCCAGGTCTCCCCTTCTGGACGAAGGAAGATGCTCCTAGGCTTACTCTTGAGCATCCTAGACCAGTGACCCCCCACACCACATCCTGCCCCAACTCACTGACTCCACAGAGTCTTCCACACTTAGTGCTACCATCTTTAGCACCCACTCCAAGCTCTAAAATCTGCAGCCAGCATCATCAGTGAACCCCGAACCTGAACAAGCAGCAGGTCATCGGGTCACAGGAGCTGGGAGGGACCTCACAGACCATCTAGTCTGACCCTTTCATTTTACAGATGGGGAAAATGAGGCCCATGAGGGTAAAAGGATTTGCCCAAGGTCACCCAGTCAGAACATGGTGCTGGAACTGGAAGGGAACTTGGAGGTCATCTAATTCAATATCCTCATTTTACAGATGGGGAAACTGAGGAACAGAGAGGTTGAAAGACTGCCTATGGTCACATAATTGGGATCGTGGAGCTGGAAAAGCCATAGGGTATAGGTCTAGAACTGTAAGAGACCTCAAAGGTCATCTGGTTGTAAAACAACTGCTTGTTTTACAAAGCAAGAAACTGTCTCAGAGAGGGCAGTGACATGTAGTATAAGCATATAGTAAGGATTTGAACCTAGATCCAGGCCAGGGTGACTATTCCTCCTGAGTAGCCCACTTCTTTACCAGAAGGAGAATCCACTGGGATGGGCTGTGATGCTTCTGCTACGATTATCAATCAATCAGCAAACATTTGTTAAGCACCTGCTATGCACCAGTTGTCAACCCTGTGGCTTTCCAGCCAGAGCTCTGTCTCAAGGCCAAGCGACCCTGTGTTCCACTGGTCACTGCTCCCTGCGCAGAAAGCTCTCAATGACAAGTGCTCGACCCCCTGGGGTGTTGCAGACAGTGCCTAGTTCCCTGAGAAGGCTGTGGACCCAAGGAGCATGCTGGGACTCCAAACTCCACACCTCAGAGTCAGTCCATTCAGCCCATCATTGGCACACACACACAGGCCTTGTCCCTGGCAGCCAGGGTGCCTCCTTAAGAGGAAGGATGGGTCACAGAATCTCAGAGTTAGATAAGGTTTCAGAGACCATCCAGCCCAGCTCGTGCCTGGCCAAGAATTCACTCTTGTTATCACTGCCAGCATTGTGTGGGAAAGGTGGGCTTGGAATGCAGATTCCAAGCCTCTTTCTTTGGTGCTTGCACACTCCACAGAGTGCTGTATTCTGCCCTGGTCTGATCACATTTTAGGAGCATAGATCTGGAGATGGAAGGAACCTCAGCAACCAGCTAGTCCAAGCCCCTCATTTTACAAAAAAGAAACTGAGGCTAAGGTGGTGGTGGTGACTTGCCCAAGGTCACACAAACAGTAAATATCTGAGATTGGTATTATAGATACTCAATAAAAGTTTATTGAATTGAGTTGATAAGAAGGGATACAGAGCAGAGGTCTAAATATGGAAAAGGTCGGAAGGCATGGAATCATAGAGTTGTGTGGTCCAACCCGCTCCATTTTATAAATGGGAAAACTGAGGCCTAGGAGTGACTTGCCCAAAGCCACACAGTTGAGTGTCAGAGCCGGGATCGGCACCCAGCTCCTAGGACTCCCATCAACGTTCTTCCTGCTGTATTTGTCATGAGGCTGGCGTCTCTGAGGCCACTGAACCTGCCTGTGGACTTTTGTTCCCTTGGTTCTCTCAACCCCTTAACTTGCACCATTCAAACAGATTTCTTGGTAACACCTTCACGCCCACTCCTGGCACTTCTCTGGGTCTGTCCCCCGACCTGCCTCCCTGTCCCATCAGGCAAGCCCAGATCCTCTGAGCTATGACATTCAGGGCCAACCTTTATGTTCAGGGGTCAGGGCTGTGGAGGCAGACAAGACTGGCTGTGTGTTGACCTCAGGACATTCCATTCCCTTCTCCCCATTTCTTTTTTTTTTGGGGGGGGGTTGGGGAGAGAGGCAACCAAGGTTAAGTGACTTGCCCAGGCTCACAAGGCTAGAAAGTGTCAAGTGTCTGAAGCCAGATTTGAACTCAGGTCTTCCTGACTCCAGGGCCGGAGCTCTCTCCACTGCACTAGCTGCCCCTTCCTCCATTTCTTTTTAACAAAATCTTGCCTCTGGCCAGTGCAGAAGAAAAATCTGTTAATTAAGTTCTGGCCAATTTACTTTCTACTGAAATGTACACCCTCCTCCCCACCAAAAAAAAAAACCAACCCCCAAAAAACTCAAAAACCCCCATAGGAAACAGAAACAAAAACAAAACCCAACTGTGTATGTAAACACCATCTAACAGTAAAAGACTAAATTGAAATCCTAATGCAGACTAGGAGACTATGGAGAAACGAAGTTGGGAATGGTAAACTGGAAACCAGAGGACCTGAGTTTGAATTCTGTTTCTAACACTTACTACCTATGTGGCCTTGAGCCTTCATTAAACCTCTCTGGATCCTGCTTCCCCCTTCTGAAAAATGGGAGGGTTGGACTGGATCAGAGGATCTGAACCTCTTTTGTGCCATGGACCCTTATGGCAGCAAATATACTTTACTGAAACACAGATAGCAATAATAAAAAAAAAAATGTTCCCAGACCCCAGAACCCCAGGCAACCTCTCAAGTCCTCTCTGGCGTTAGATCTGTGATCCTGCGGTCCTAAGACACAGCAGTAAGGGAAAAAGCAAACCCCATCGGATCTGCCGTCCATCCGGCGAATGTCCTCGTGGCTGCAAGTCTCTGTGGGAGTGCGTGATCAGGGGAACAGCCCTGGGAGCCAGCGTCCAGGCACATCTGCTGCCCTGCCCGCTCTCATTTCCTTCTGCAACTGAAAAACCACAATTACATGTCAAGATAAAGGAAGCCCCACCCCCACCCCAGCCGAGGTTTGCTGTTGCTTCACTGGCCTGGTTCTGAGAACCACTGTGGAAGGAAAAAGTGGAAAACATGCTGGGAGAAGAGCTGATGAAGATGAGAGATAGGACCAGGGAGTGGGGGAGGAGAGAGGAAGAAGTGAGACAGAGGAATGAGGAAACAGAGGAGAGGAGTGGGGAAACTCCTTCCACCAATGCAGGTTGGCCCCTTTTCTGCAACTTAGAGTCTTAGCCCGCTAGAGCATTGAGAGGTCGAGTGATTTGCTCAGGGACACACAGCAGTATGGTCTGAAACGGACTTGAATCCAGGTCTTCCTGGAGGTACGGCTGGCTCTCTATCCACTATACTACATGGCCTCTCTAGATATCTAGATATAGGTATATATGATACAGATGTGGGTGATAATGTTATAGCTAAAAGGAGAAAGGGGAATGGGGAGAGAAAGAAGGAGGGAGAGGAGAAGAGAAGAGGGGAGAGGAGAAAAGAGGAGAGAGGAGGGAGGGGAGGAAGGAGAGAAGAGGAGGGGAGAGGAGAAGAGAAGGAGAGGTGAGGGAAGAAGAGAGATGAGGGGAAGAAAGAGGAGAGGAGACCCAAGGGGAGAGGAGGAAGATTAACCCTAATATTGACATTCTGGACTACAAGAAAGAAGTGAGAATCTCAGTGCCTTGCGTGATGATTGCCGTCAGGAGATGTGAGTGAGACCTTGCAGCCCCTGGCCCTGATCCTCTTCCTCTTTCTATTGAAAGACTGGGGGCCCTTGGTAAAGGAATATTTGAAATCTGGAATGCCGAAGACGGTCATTTCCTGTCTGGGAGGTGGTTTGGACCTAAGGAGTGACTCATTCTAGCCCTTGGCTGTCTATCTAGATCTTCAGTTCTGGTAGTTTATGTTGCGTCATAGCCCTGAGGTGCCCTTGGATAGAACAAATAAAATGTGAGACCATGACAGAGCCAGTGAAATCTCTGGGCTGCCCCTGACAGGAGGAAATGGCAGTCCACTTGTCACCAAAAGGTCCAGATAAATGTCGCTAATTTGGAATAACTTAGGTGGGGGGTGATGAGGTCAGATTCAGTGGCAATTATAAATCAGAGAATATGTAGAAGGAAATGCTGGGTAGGTTCTAGAGATACCGTCATGTACAGCATTCACTGCTAGTAAAATGGCAAATTTCTAGAATCTTTTTGGAAAGGATTCTGGAGTTAAACAGGGAAAGTGACAAAAAGCCTGCATTCTGACCATGAATTCCATTATCAGAAATATCATCTGAAGTTGTTAAAATGCAAATGAGGGGCTGTGAGGTGGCACAGTGGGGAGAGCACCGGCCCTGGAGTCAGGAGGACCTGAGTTCAATTCCAACCTCAGACACATAACACTTACTAGCTGTGTGACTCTGGGTAAGTCACTTAACTCCAATTGCCTCACTTTAAAAAAAAAAAAGCAAATGAGCGAAGGAAGCTAGCTCTCTGCTCAGAGATTTCCATGGGTGCATTGGGCTGGAATGTGATCTAGACAGCCAACACAGGGGAATGCTGAAACACATGACTATAATGGAATGCTCTGATGCCATCCAGACTGCCAAGCACAAGGAAGATAAGGAAATTTAGAAAGACGTTTGTTCATTAATAAATTACCTTTAATTAAGGCAAATTGGGAAAAGCAGAATCATAAGACTAAGGAACTCAGAAACATCCATCCATATAATAGTAAAAGTGCTTGGAAATGAATGGACTAAGAATCCTGATGGGCAGGGTGGGGGGCCAGTGGGTAGAGACTAAAAAGTTGTGTAGCCAGTGCAGTCAACGACAAAGCTTTTATTGAGGCTCTTCTGTTTGCCAGGCACTGTGCTTAGCCTGGGATTCAAAAATGGAAGTGAAACAATCTATGCCCCCAAGGAGCTTACATGTTTTCTTCTCTATTCATCCCTCCCTTGTGTCCTTTCTCTTCACTTATCCCTCCTCCCTGTTCCTTCCACCCCATGGAGCCCTCTTTCTGTCTCTGCTCTCTGTGCTTCCTGCCCGTCCATCCATCCATCCATCCATCCACCCATCCCTCTTCCCTGTCCTTTCGCTTCACCTATCCCTCCTCCCTGTTCCTTTCCTCCCCATCCATCCCTCCTTTCTGTCTCTGCTGTCTTTCCTGTCCATCCATCCATCCCTCCCTCCTTCTTCCCTATCCTTCCTCTCCTATCCCCTCTTTCCCTCTTTTTCATCCATCTCCCCTCTCTGTCTCTTTCACCTTCTGTGTCTTTCACCTCTGAGCTTCCTCTCCATTTATCAGTTCTTTCTCTTCTTTGTCTCCCTCTTCTCTGTCCTTTCTCTCCATCAACTTCTCCTCTGCTCCCAGTCCCTCTTCCCAGATCTTCCCCTCCCTCTAACTCTTGGCTTCATCCCTGCTCCTGGTCTTATCCTCTCCTGCCCTTCCCTTCATGCCTGCTCGTCAAATTCTTCCACATGTTTTTCAGGGATGAAGGACGACAAAGTTTTACAGTTGCCCGGGCCTTTTCTAGTAAGTACACAGAGGAAGGAGCCTGCCTGATTGCAGGAGGGTGGGGGTGGGAGGTGTCTTGGGGTGTAGGGTTGGGGGGAGGGAGAAGGGGGACGGTGGTTGAAGGAAGGGGAGAGCCAGCTTGAACATGGGTGCCATGACTCATCTCATCTCATTTGGTGAAACCACTGGGGTCACCACAGGAAGGATAAGCTGGAGATGGCCCCATCTTTCTGGGGGGGCTTTAGCCATCCTGCTTTCCTAGGATCCAGAGAGTCAACAAGACAAAGAGCCGTGGGTTTACATTTCACCTTAGACACTTGATGGCTGTGACATTCTGCGGGTCAATCTCCCCCTTATGTAAGATGGGCGTGATGATACAATGGACTTCACAGTGTAGTCATAAGAAATTTGGTTTGTAAAGCCCAGAGCACAAATTATTATTCTGGGCTGACATTTTGTGGTTCGCAGGGAGGGGTTGGTCAGAGAATGACAAATTCAGCAGAACAACATAGTTGGATGGATAGGGCTGCCATCCGGTCTTCTGAGAAGGACCTGGGCTGAGGTCAACAGGGGCTGCCCCATGACTCGCTAACTAACCTCCGCCTCTCTTGTTCCATCTCTCAAAACAGTAGCAGGCATGGTCCCAGAGATGGCTGAGTATTCCACCGTTCAATGCCCTGGGTCAAGGTAGGAGAGAGGTAGCCTGTGGCTTCCTGTGCCTTTAATGTCGTTCTCAAAAAAAACGTGAAGTCCATAGTCCTGGCTTCGATGTCCACTCCGCAGAGCCTTCCTTGGTCCCCCAGCTGAGAGTGGCCTCTCCCTCCTCTGACTGCCTGGAGTACTGGCTGTATCGCCCTCCCTCTGCTTTGTATTAATTAGAGTTAATGTGTAATTGTCTTCTCTGAAAGGAACATGAGATCCAAGGATCACAGATGGAATGGATCTCAGCGGCCATCTAGTCCCATCTGCTCACTGTACAAAGGGTGAAACTGAGGCCCATAAAGGTTAAGTGGCTTACCCAAAGTCACATAGGAATAAGTAGGAGAGGCAGGATTTGAACCCAGGTCCTCTGACTCCAAATCTAAATAAGATCATAGATGTTCAGAGCTTTGCACACCTTAAAGGGCTATATAAATATCATTAGTTATTATTATTATTTATTGTTAGCACTTCTCCTACTAGATTAGATCTTCCCTAATCTCCCTCTACTAGCACCTAGCACAGTATCTTGTCTTTAGTAAGAACTTAGGAAATGTTTAATTAATGGTCTCCATCGATTATTAATTCTATGAATGGAATTTGGGGAGTGAATTTAGGAATGAATGAATTGTCCCAGTGCCCCTTAGCCAGTCCTTGACCCTTAGTCATAGAGCTAGAATGGACATCAGAGGGCATCTAGTCCAGCCCCTTCATGTTGCAGAGAAGGAAAATGAGGCTCGAAGAGGCTCAGACTTGCCCAAGGTCACACGGTTAGTAAGCAGATTTTGTCTCTAAGCAAAGGCATGACTCAATGAACAGGATCACGCCTCCTCTTTCCAACACTCTGCTGGCCATGTACCTGTTAACCCCCCTGTGGTGTCGCCTTTAAAAACGTTCTGCTTCATCAGTCTCAGTGCTCAGAGGGGTTTCTCCTCTGGACCCACCCCAAGCTTCTTTGGGCCCCTCCCCCCCCTTGGCATCTCTCTGGGCTCTAGCCATCCATGGCTTCCTCTTCGTCCACCACTCAAAGCTGCCTCTTTCAAACACCTTGACTGCAGAGGTGTGAGCTGGGATGTCCTTGTTTGCAGGAAGGACAAATGGCTGTACTCCATGGCTGGTGCAGAAGGTAAGTGTGTGACTTCCCTTCCCTGCCCCAGACCTCCAATGTGCCTAAGGCCAACCCCGAGGATGGGCAGCCCAGGGTCATTCCCAGAGGGTGGGAGGCCTGGAGAGGCCGGAGGAGCCACCTCGGGGGAGCAGGGGCCTGCGGTGGGAATTCAGAGCCTGGATCCCACCAAGAAGTACTCCTTAGTTAAGATAGGTTCAGAACCTGCAGGTGCGGCTGTGGGCAAATCGCTTCGACAACCTGGGCCTCAGTTTCCTCATCTGTAAAAGAGAGAGAGTTGGACTAGATTAGCCTTGAAGGCCCCTTTCAACTCTGAATCCTGTGGACTAGCTGTTAGCACAGTGCCTGGCACATGTCAGTGCCAGTACATTTTTATTGACTGACTGCCTTCTCTGGGCTTCAGCTTTGCCATCTGTACAATGAAAGGCTTGGATGAGATAGCACCCAACATACCTACCAATTCAAATCTACAGGCAGGTTTTTTTATTTTTATTATTTTTTAGGCAAATGGGGTTAAGTGACTTGCCCAGGGTCACACAGCTAGTAAGTGTCAAGTGTTTGGTCTGATGCCGGATTTGAACTCAGGTCTTCCTAACTTCAGAGCGGTGCTCTATCTACTGCACCACCTAGCTGCCCCCCAATTCAAATCTAGATGATGCTGTGGAGCACCTCAGTTTCTTTCTTTCTTTCTTTCTTTCATCAGGGTTAAGTGACTTGTCCAGGGTCACACAGCTCATGTCAGAAGTCAAATTTGAATTCAGGTCCTCCCGATTTCAGGGCTGGTGCTCTATCCGCTGCGCCACCTAGCTGCCCCATTCAGTTTCTTCATCTGTAAAATGAAAAGGTTGGCCTCTAAGGTCCCTTGCAGTTCTGAATCTTGTAATAATAATAATAATACTAGAGGGCTAGACAGGTTGACAGATGGACGGATGGGCAGACAGACAGATAGGTCAAGCATTTATTAAGCTGTACCATGTGCCAGGTGCCAGGCGTCACCTTCCTGATGTCATGGTCCTCCTGGAGAACGAAGGACAAACAAGAAGAAACAATGAGGTGCCAGGTGCAGCAAGCTGGTCCCTGCCCTCGAAGAACTTTTATTCAAATGGAGAAGGGACAGTTTAGGAAGAAAGCAGCTGGAATGTGGGTGGGGGCTCCAGATAGAGTTAGAACATTAGGAACTAAGGTGGAGACCACAGTCTGGCCCAGATAAAGTGAAAGCTTATCTCTTAGAGCCCAGGGATTCCAGGGAATAAAGTCCCTGTTGTCAGTAAGGAGAAGGTGGGGATCACGGCCTGAGAGCCAGATAGGCAGGATTTGGAGGTGTCTGAGAAGTGTAAAAAATGGTTAGGAGCGAGGAAGACCTGCATTGGGGTCCTTCCTTAGGGTACCTAGCTGTATGACCCTGGGCAAGTCACTTAACCTCTGTCTGCCTTCAAAATGGGGATACTAATAACACCACCTACCTCCCCTGGTTGCTATACAAATCAAATCAAATGAGATAATACAATTTGAGATAAAGCACTTTGAGAGCCTTAAAGCTTAATCCTATTATCCCTGGAGAGCAGGAATTGATAAATGGATCTAAGGCTCTGAGTTCATTCCCTCTGAACTGGGCTGAAGGAACCAGGGTTATTTAGAGGAAAGAGAAGTATTAATGGGAACGCAAGGTCTGTGCTTAAGTACTTGAAGAGAAGTCTTGGGAATCGAGCAATTAGGCCCCAGGGGAAGAACGAGGTTTGTTGTCTTGAAAATCTCCCCAGCTATGAGAGCCGTGCTAAAGGGGGTGAGCCGCCTCTGGAGGGGTGGGAGCCTAAGCTGCATGACCCCCTCGTGCAGTTGAGATTGAAGGGGGGTTTCTTGTGCAGGGTGAACCTGCTGGCCTCTGAGATTCTCTGGGTTGGGACTTGATAGCAACCTGAGGTCTTGTTCAGACTAGGAGAAGTATATGCTCCTCCCTCCATCACCTCGAGCACAGCCCAGGGTCCTCCCATAGGGGATTTCGTCAGGGTGTCGCCTCTGCCCTAGGGATGCATACGCTCAGTTTATTCTACTTCTCCATCTACCAGCTACAGAATATTGTCATTTTTATTATATTGGCTTGGCCTCCTTACAAGCAATATTCATTTCTCCAAGTATTCAGATCTATCTTTATGTGAAGAGTGTTTTATAATTGTGTTCCCATAGTTCCTATGAGTTGTGTGTTGGCAGACTATTAAGTATTTTTTTCCCACTGTCTATTGTTATTTTAAATGCAATTTCTCTTTTTATCTCTTCTTGTTGGGTTTTGTTGGTAGTATATAGAAATGCTGATTATTTATGCGAATTTATTTTATATCCTGAAACTCTGCTGAGGTAGTTAATGATTTCAGTTACATTTTTAGTTGACTGTCCAAGGGTTTTTAAATAAATCATAACTTCACCTGCAAAAGGTGATAATTTTGTTTCCTCGTTGATTACGATTATTCCTTCCATTTCTTTTTCTTTCTTATTCTCATAGCAAGCATTTCTAGTACAATATTAAATAATAATGGTGGCCATCGACATCCTTGTTTCACCCCTGATGTTATTAGAAAGGCTTCTAGCTGACCCCATTACAGCTAATTCTTGATGTTGGTTTTAGATAGAAGCTACCTATCATTTTAAGGAAAGCTCTTTTTATTCCTGTGCCTTCTAGTATTTTTTTCTAAAACAGTGTTGGGGGTTTTATGTTTTGTCGAAAACTTTTTCTGCACTTATTAAAGTTATCATATGATTTTTGTTAGTTTTGTTATTAATATAGCAAATTATGCTTATAGTTTTCCTAATATTGAACCAGCACTGAATTCCTGCCTGGTCATAGTATATGGTCTTTGTGATATATTGCCGTAATCTCCTTGCCAGTATTTAAAATTTTTGTATCAATATTCACTACAGCAGTTGGTTTATAGTTTTCTTTGTTTTTTTTTGTTTTTGTTTTTATTTTTAGTGAAGCAATCAGGGTTAAGTGATTTGCCCAGGGTCACACAGCTAGTATGTGTCCAGTGTCTGAGGCCAGATTTGAACTCAGGTCCTCTTGATTCCAAGGCCAGAGCTCTATCCATTGTGCCATCTAGCTGCCCCGGATTATTGTTTTCTTTTTCTGTTTTGACTCTCCCTGGTTTAAGTATCAAAGTCATATTGGTGTCATAAAAGGAATTTGGTAGGACACCTTCTTTACCTAGTTTTTTTCAAACTACATTTTTATGTAGTAGTGGAATGAATTGTTCTTTAAATGTTTGGTGGAATTCACTTGTAAATCTGTCTGTTCCTGGGTTGGGTTTGGTTTGGTTTTTCCTTAGGAGAGTTCATTCATTCTGCCAGCTAGACAGGCATCACGGTTGAAAGATCACTAGGTCAGGAGTTAGAGGGTCTGGGTTCAAATCCTGATTCTGCTACTTATTTCCTATCTGACCTTGGACAAATCACTTCACACACCCCTCCCCTGACCTCAGTTTCCCCCTTTAAAAATGATGGGTTGGACTAGATGGCTTCTGAGTCCCTTCTGCTCTAGAGCTATAATGGTATGATAAAGACCTATGTGTAATTGATGGGCACCTACTGGAAAGCTCCCCCTGCCCCCATCACATTAGAATTGAAGGCTTGGAAAGGGCCTTGGAGAGCATACAGTCCTGCTAGCTCTGAGGGCCAGGGAGGGGTCACTCGCCCAAGGTCACAAACTAAGTTATCAAAGAACGTCAGAGATTAGAAGAGGGCTCTCTTGACTCCTAGGAGGCCACCATTCTTTCCAACACCACATCTCTTCATTTCTTTGGTGTTCCTTGCCCTGCCTTCCAACAATGCAGACTTCAGGGGCCAAGGGAATGCCGAAATGAATGGTGGAATTTCAGGTTCAGCATCTGACCAGAGGGAGGAGAGATTTGAGGGTGGGGGTGGGCAAGTTGGAAGGAGGCACCTTTCTAAGAGCATTAAATCACGTATGCAGGTGGTATGTTGGTAATGGCATGCAGGTCCTAGACATAACACTTCTTCTCCTCACTGTGACCCTGACACCTTTCTGAGGGCCTGAAACTCTAACCTGGGTGGGGTCCCGCAGTGGCCACAGCCAGAGTGGAGATTATCTCTTCTCTCACAAGTAAGGGTGTGAAGTGAGGGAGATAAAACCAGACTGTAATGAGACAGGGGCTCCCCAAGACTCCTGCTCACCAGCCTCAGCCTGGCTGCTCCCCTGAGCCTACTGTGGGGAATGCAGGGAGAGAGAGGCACTCTCCCAAGATAGAAATAATAGCTAACAGTTATGTAGTGCCTACTGTGTGCTAAGTTCCTTTACAAATATCTCATTTGTTCTTCATGACAACCCTGGGAGGTAAATGCTATTATGAGCGTCTCCATTTTACAGATGAGGAAACTGAGGCAGACAGAGGTTATGTCACTTGCCCAGGGTTAGATGGCTAGTAGTGTCTGAGGTAGGATTTGAATTCAAGTCTTCCTAACTCCAGGCCCTGAGTTCTATCTGTTGTCTCATCTAGCTACCTCAGACTGGACTGAGGCTCCCTGAGGACCCCCATAAGGAAGTCAAAACTAGGACCTACTCAGCTTGGTTAGGATAGTGGGTCTCCAAACTTTCCAGCCCAGAGACCTTTGCACGGGGACAAAGACCCCTCTCTGCCCAGCTTGTATTCCCAACTTTCTGCCCCTCTCCCAATCCCCCTCTGTCCCATTTCTTCCTCAGGAGAGATAGTCTGCTGGGTCCTTTGTGGAAACATCGTCTCTTATTAAAAGGTCATGAGTTGGTGATGAATTTTCGCTGGTTCCACTGTGAATAGTGACATGTGTCCCTTCCTCAATCTATGCCACCCCCACTCCTCTCACCAGACATTGCTGGTTTTTTGCAAAACTGTGAAGCTTTGAAGACCCCAGCCTCCCACTTCCCTGTCCTTTTCCTCCCCCTGGTGGCTGAACGCTCCCTTCCCCCAACACTCCCTCCCATGCTTTTAAAAGTAGGGTTCCTGAACCTTTCTGGTAGCTCTTCAGTCTATTAATGCCTTCCCAGAATGTTTTTAAACTCCTAAAACAAAATGCACAGGATTATAAAGGAAGCCAATTTTACTGAAATACAGTTATTAAAATACATATATTTATGGACCCTTAGATTAAGAATTCCTATTATTAAGAACTGTAGACATTCAGAATTAGAAGGGACCTCAGAGGTCATTTACTCCAACCTCTTAATTTTACAGATGAGGAAACTGAGGCACAGAGAGGTTAGGTGATTTGTCCAACATCACACAGGTAGTGTAATCAGAAGCAGGATTTGAACCCAGTTCCTCTGACTCTAAAGCTAGGGTTCTTTCTACTGGACTAAGAAGTCTTCCAAGGTCATCTTGTCTAACTCCCCACCCCCACATCAAACTGTGCTCTGGAGAAAGGCTCTGATATCCACCCCTTCTATAGACCTCAATGCTAGTGAGGATCCCTCTCTCAGGAGAGCTGGTATCCCAAGGACAAGCCCTCCCTGGTGATGAGAAATCTTTGTCCCCATCAAGGGGGATGTCAGGCAACAGGTGGGAGGAGAGACTTGGGGAGGCAGGGAGATCCTTCCTGGGTCCCTGAAATCACAGGCAGCTGTCAACCCAGAAAGGAAGCCAGGGAAGCTGAGCCATGAAGGCAACATTGAGGAAGACCCCAGCCTTTGGCCACTCTGAGACTGATGGGGCTCTGACTCGGCTGCCCTCTCCAAGGGTGGCTGAGGTTGGCCCTGCCTGAGGGTCTGGCTCATGCTTTTCCCACAAATTATGCCTAAAGATGGTGGCCCTGCTCTTCCAGCTTGGAACGAATTGGCCAAGGTCCCCTTAGGAGGCCAGGGCCTGGGACCTATCTTGGGCACCCAGGGAGTCTGGAATGCCCATTGAGGATAAGGGTCTATAACCCTGGGACCAGACAGCATCAGATCCCATATCGATACTTTCTGGTTTCTTTCAGATCCTGACACCCCCAGGTATCAGAACCTCAGGAAAGGTAAGTCAGCCTGCCAAAAAGTCTGCTCTAGGAAGGAAGCCCGTTTTTTTGTGGTCTAATACAAACAGCACTGATTCAGAATTAGGGAGTTGGGTTCAAATTCTGACTATGCTGACTACACACAACTGGGCCTCAGTTTCCTCAACTGTAAAATGAGTAGGTTGAACTGGATGACGTTCCAGCTCTAAATACAGGATCCTATGGTCTTTTACCTCCTCCCATCCCAAACTCTTGATCTGCACCTTTCCAGATGGAGTAGCTATGCCATGATGGATACATCACGTCACTACTTGGAACCTCAATTTCCTCAGCTAGAAAACTGATACTACACAAGATTGTTCACAGACCAATAGGAACATAGACCCAGAGCCAGAAGGGGGTCTCAGGAGCATCTGGTCCAAACCCCCCATTCTGCAGATGAGGAAACTGAGGCCATAGACAGGAAGTGACTGACCCAAGGCCACACAAGTAGTATGTATAAGGGCTGGGATTCCAACCTGGATCTCAAATCTAAAGGTGCAAAGGACCTGGGAGGTGATCTACTCCAGCCTCCTCATTTTCCAGATAAGAAACTGAGGGACTTGTCTAAGATCATACACGACCTTCTTTTTAAAAAAACTTTAATCATATTATGTTTCCAGTTAATAAGCATTTGCCTTTCTTCATTGAACAACAACAAGGAAAAATAAAACCCTCATAACAAATACATTAGATCTATTAGAGTGTAAGCTCCTTGAGGGCAGGGACTTGACTTTGACCCCTTAACACAGTGCCTGGCACATAGTAGGTGTTTAATAAATGTTTATCAATTGAAAAAACATGTGTAGTTAATCTAAGTAAGTCCCATAGTAGGCCACATCTACATATGTAAGACCTTATCTTCTTAACCAGGTCCTTTAGTCTCCTCTGGTTAAATGAATGACATGTCGTATAAATAGCCTACTGGGCCTGGAGTCAGAAAGACCTAGGGTCCCATCCAGCTGCAGACACTTGCCAGCTGTGTGACTCTGGGCTTCAGTTTGCTCATCTGATTGTTAATGGGAAGCACACCGGTGGGGGCTCATGAACTAGATTTAGAAGTAGCCACCCACAGGACACCCGAGGACCTATGGGAAGCAGCCACCCTTAGGGGTGGTCTACCTGGCCACGGAGGTCCCTTCTAGCACCAGATCTAGGATCTTGGATCACTGGTTACTGGACAGTAGAGATGTATTCCTCCAGCCCTTTTACCCTTCATAGGAAGACCAATCTTAACTCCAAAGTCGGTACATTTCTGAAACACTGTCCACCTGAGCTGGGGACCTTTAGGAGCTCCGAGAGTCACAGAATACTGAGATTGGTTGGTTCAGCTGAGGATAGTAGGTCTGGCATTTTGCAGCAGAGACTAGCTTGGGATCAGGAATGAGCATGCCATGTTAGGACCTGGCTAGCTGGAGCAATGATGGGTTTAAGAAGGAATGGAAAAGTCGGGTTAGGGCTAAATTGCAGAGGGCCTTGAATGCCAAGTAGGGGAATTTGAAAGAAAGTGTGGTATAGTGGACTTGTAATCAGAAAGACCTGAGTTCAGATTCTCTCCCAGTTGATCAATAAACATGTGCCAGGCACTGTGCTAATCGCTGGGAATTTAGAAAGAGGCAAAAGAGAGTCCCAGTCCTAAGAGCTCACAATCTAAGGGTCTTATGACTCTTAATTGGCCTCGAGACCACGGGCAAATCCTTAACCTGCATGGGCCTCCATTTCCTCATCTATAAAATGGAGGAAGGAGGAGGAGTCAGCTAGATTCCCTAGACTGCAGAGAGACACCGTTTTTTTGAGCAGGGGAATGGTATGATTAAAAAGAGGATTTTACCAAGCTAAATGCTATGTAATTACAATGTCTAAGCTTGTGTCTGAAAGAAAGGATAAGAAAATTCACCTCTCTCTTCTTTGTGGAGGTGGAGGACTATGGGTATGTAACATTATATAAATCTACTGTCGGATTGTGTCATGTAGTTTTACTGAATTGCAGCTAGGTGGTGATAGAATGCTATCTGGAGTCAGGGAGACCTAAGTTCAAATCCAACCCCAGACACTTACTAGCTGACCATGGGCAAGTATGTTTGCCTCAGTTTCCTCATCTGTAAAATGGGAATAATAATAGCACCTAACTCTCAGTGTAATGGTAAGGATCAAATGAGATAATATTTGTAAAGCGTTTTGCAAACTTAAAGCAATGTATAAATGCTAGCTATTATTATTTTAAAACTCTTTGTTAAGGCATGACTGACTGGGAGGGGACAGGAAAGGATATATTTACAAACAAAGGTAATGAAAAACATAGGTTAGGAATCGGGACTAGGCTTGTGATTTCGATGGTGCAAGAAATTCCCAGGTGAAGAAACTCCTCCTTTTGCAGGTCAGCACCCCCTCTAAACTTATTGTCTGAGGGGGCTGCTAAGAACCTGGAGTGACTCACCCAGGGTCACACAGTCAATGTGTCAGAGACAGGACTTGAACCCAGCTCTTCCTGGCTCTGCAGCTGGCTTTCTAGCCACTACAGAAATGGAGGAAATCAATAAAGATTAGGAGGGGGAATTCGGGGGAGACCAATCCTAATTTTCTAATCAAATCCTTGTCCTTGCAGGAAGTAGAAGAGAATCTGAACCAGCCTATGTGTAAGTTGATTTTTCCTCGTCATGGTACCTCCTGTATGTTGGCTTTCTTTATCCAAATATACAGGGGTAGAAAAATGGGGAGTGGGAACAGAGGGTCCCTTCTCAGAGAAAGAGGTGGGGAAGTCAGTCTGATGGAAACAGCCCAGCTCTAAACTTTCTCTGAACTATGGAATATTTATGTCTCAGGAGATGGGGCTCCTGCCTGTCCTTGGGTTCCACCTGCCTTCCGAGCCTTCAAAAGAGGCTCAACATTTCTGATCTAATTCAGGGTGGGGGGAGGAATAAACAGTTAGATAAGCAAGTGCAAAGTATATTGAATTTCAAAGGAAGGGAGGAATTCCAGGCAGGTTGTCCAGTGGACTCCAGAGGACAGAGCCCAGACTAGGTACTGGGGAGCAAGGAGGCGATGGAAGTACCTGCATTTGGGAAGATCCCAGTTATAATGGGGGAGATGCAGTCCTTGCCCTCAGGGAGGGAGTCTCTAGTCCAGAGGGGTTTTTTTTTAACACCATTTTGGTGTTACTGACCCCTTAGGAAGTCTGGTGAAGCCCTCAGACTCCTCAGAATCCTGGTTGTAAATGCACAAAATAAAACTCATGAGATGATAAAAAACCAACATTGAAATACAGTTATATCTATCTCTCTATCATCTCTCTCTCTCTCTCTCTCTCTCTCTCTCTCTCTCTCTCTCTCTCTCTCTCTTCTATCTGTTTACCTACCCCCCTTCCATCTATTGGAACAAAGAATTTTTTTTAGAAAAAGGGGGAGAAAAAAAATTCAGCAAAACCAAGTGATGCATGGAAAAAAAACCTGACAGTATCTGCAATGTTCCACACGTGTGCCCTTGCCCCCCACAGCCCCACCCCAGTCTCTCTCCTTGGGGCCAACCTTGTTCTTTACAAGTTCACAATGTTCATTTTTTATTATTATGTGGTTACTCTTTCCAGTTACACAGTTATAGTCATCATGTATATTGTTTCCCCTGACCCTCCTTCCTTCATGGACATCTGTCTGTCTTTCTATTCCTCTCTATCTTCATCTCTCTTCCCTTACATCTCTGACATCTGATGATTTTATAACCTAAGCTGAGGTTGGGGGTGAGGGGAGGGCAGGAGGCTGTGAGCCCATATCCCCAACTAGTGAGCCAAGAGAGAATAGCCCTGTTTTCGTGAATTGTGGTTAGAAATTGAAAAAAATTAAATTAAAAATTGCCTTTTGAGCTGATGGAAATTATTGACATCATAGACACTGTGGGAGGGGTGAGGGGGTGGAAGGCAAGATAGACAACCTCAAATAGCATTTAAAGAAAAACAACCGGGGGGGTGGCAAGGAGGTCCAGAAAGGTTGACCTTGACCTCCTGCCAGCCTCACACCTCAGCAGGAAAGGACAGCTCCCAGGATGATCACTCAGGGAGGGCAGCATCTTTTACATGGGTCTCTGTGTTGTGGTTTTTTCTTCTCCAGAGATCCCGTTGCGACAGATTATTACAACTTTGTGCAGTTCCAGAGGCAACTGAAAGGTAGGGAGGACTCCAGATGTGGGCATGAACTGGGGAACTGGGAGGAGAGGAATCACCGGACTGGGGACTTTTCAGCTAGACCTCAAAGGATGTCGGGACTTCAAAGGGCAAAGAAGATGGGGAAGGAAATCCCAGACAGGAAGGTGGGAACAACTGGGTATGGGTAAGGAGGAGGAGCCGGTTAGTCTAGCTAGAACTAGATTAATCAATCAATTTATCAACAAGTATTTATTAAGCACCTACTGTATGCCAGACTGCTAGGTTCCGGAGATGTGAGTATACAGAATAGAATAACTTCCTAGGAAAGAACTTTTATCCTAATGAGGGAGACAATGAGTACAAATGAAAATACATACAACATAAATATGAAGGTAATAAATACAGATATTTACAAAATGGTTAAATACAAGATTGGGAGAGATCAGGAGAGGCTTGATGCAGAAGATGGTATGTGAGTGCCATCTCAGAGAAAGAGGTCTGAAGGTCCCTCCACTTACAATAATGAGCAATTTGTATTTATGCAGTACCTAAGGTTTACAAAGTACTTTTCTCATGGCTACTAAGGTAGATAGCACAACCAAGCAGCATTTATTAATTACCTACTGCATACCAGGCTTTGTACTAAGGGCTGGAGATATAAAGAGAAAAGCAAATGAATCCCTGCCCTCAAGGAATTTACATTCTAATGCAGAGAGACTTCATTCCAGGTATGGATATATTTGTGATTCTAGCTTTAAAATAAATATTCAGTTGTAAAAGCTTGAAGAAAAAAAAGGAATATTGATTTGGTGGCTGAGAAGAGGAGGGACTGGAGATGCGGAGAGTCTGGAAGCAGGGAGCCTAATGAAGAGGTTAACAAACTAGGCTAGGAGTGAGATGGTGAGGTCTGGACTAGGGTATGGCTGTGTAAGGAGAGAGGTGGGGGGAAGGGGATGGATGCTTTGGAGGTGGCATACAGATTGGAAGTGGGAATGAGGATGAGGAACGAGTCAAGGGTGACTGGGAGGGTGGTCATGCCCTAGACAGAAATGGGCAGTTTGGAGGACGGTTGGATGGTGGCAGTAGTGGGAAATGTAATGAATTCCAGACAGCTAGGTGGTGCAGTGCACTGACCCAGCTCAAATTTGACCTCAGACACTTACTAGCTGTGTGACCCTGGACAAGTCACTTAACCCCGATTACTTCCAAAATAATAAAAAAAAAAATGTAATGAATTCCATTTTGGACTTGTCCATTGGGCATCCAGGTGAAGATGTCTTCCAGAAGACACCCTCTCAAATACTTGCACAGAACTACGGTGTCCTTCTACTTGTCCTCAAGGCTAACCACCCCCAGCTCCTTCAACTCATCCTTTAGTAACCTAGTTTTCCTAAGCCTATGTCCCACATGACCTGGCTTCCCTGTTCTAGTCATTCCCCTTCTAAACATGCTCCAGTTTTTGAGTTTCTCTTTGCAGTGTTCTGCACCCAGGACACCATCTCCCACCTATGGGCTTTTGCACTGGCTGTGTCCCATACCTGGAATGCATGCTTTCCTCACCTCTGCCTCTGGGAATCCCTGGTTTCCTTCAAGGCTTAGCTACACCTTCTACAGGAAGCCTTCCTGATTTCACCCTCCTCTCCTCTCCCTCCCAAAATGACCTTGTGTTTTGGTTTTGGTTTTTTGGCACATGTTCAGGCTTTCCCTATAGGTTACTTGTCTCTCCCAATAGCGTATAAAATCCTTGAGGGCGGGGGGAGATTTATGTCTATCTTTGTATCTCTAGTGTCTCTTAGTACCTAGTACAGTGACCGATTTGAAGACTACGCAGGACCACAAGCATAGAGGACACACAGAGAAACCAGACGACTGAGGGGGTAATCAGGGAAGGCATCTGGAGGAGGTGGGCTTGAAGGAAGAGAAATGAGCCATGAGAGGAGTAGAGAAGGTAGCAATGACACCAGAGCCCTCTTCAGAAACCACCCGATCGCCACTGCCTTTCCTCTGTCCTCTCTTGCAGACGATGACGATGATACGATTTCCTACGAGAATATTCTGATCTGCACACCCGTGGACGAGGGCAAAGGCAAGAAGCCGCGGGCCAGGCTTTTAGCTGGATTTCAAGCTGGGTGGAGGGCGTGGCTGGTTTGGTTTCTGGAGGAGGAAAGCTGACAGGAGCGGCTTCCCTTTTCTGCACGTCTTTAAGACTGACTTGAAGGTCTTATTTGTGAGGTCGGCAGGACAAGGATTGTCTGTCCTTCAGGGGCTCATCCGTAGGTCCAGAGCTGGAAGGGACTGCAGAGGCCAGCTAGAACAACCTGCTCATTTTACAGATGAGGAGACTGAGGCCCAGGAGGGTTAAATGAGATAAAATATGTCGAGGGCTTTGAAAACCTTGAAGCGCTGCGTAAATGTAAGCAGTCTGCGCTCCTTCCCCTCCATCGAGGCAGCGGAGTCATCCCTCTCCATCCCGTAGCCTCTCTGCTTGAGCTGGGTTCTTCTAATTCACTCCCCGGCGAATTTATCCGGGCTGGTCCTCTGAGAGAGGGAGCATCGAGGCTGTGGGGGCTCAGCTCGGGGAAGGGGCGCCCCGAAGTCACTGGCTTCCTCCTGCAACCCTCTCTCTGCTTTGTCCTTCAGCTGTGGAAGAGTCTGCGGATTATCAGAACTCGGCATCGATCGAGCAGTGGAGACAATCGATAAGGGGGGAAAGTATGTGTCCTGGACTTGGTGTTTGGGGGTCAGAGCGAGAAGTGCCTAGTGAAGGGTTATGGCCCTGGCTCCCTTCCGCCTTGGGGAGTGATCTTTACAGGCCCTACCCGGGGGCAGCTGGTGGCGCAGTGGACAGAGTGCAGGCCCTAGAGTCGGGAGGACCTGAGTTCAAATGTGGCCTCGGACACTTACTAGCTGTGTAAGCCTGGGCAAGTCCCTTAACTCTGCCTCAGTTTCCTCATCTGTAAAATGAGCTGGAGAAGGAAATGGCAAACCACTCCAGTATATTTGCCAGGAAAGTCCCAAATGGGCTCAGGAGGAGTCAGTCCTGCCTAATTAACTAAACAACAGAATACCCTGCATCTTCGCCTGGCTTCCACTTCAGCTAAATCCCTCCAACTGGCTTGAGTTGTGAAAGCCAAGCGATGGAGAGCGACCTGGAATGTTAATCAGTACACATTCATCAGTCCCCCAGTATGTGCCAGTCACTGTGCCTGCCCGAAAAGAGCCCGTGTTCTGGTTGAGACAACATCTACACATAGAAGGATAGAGGAAATCAATTTGGGGGAGAAAGGCACTATTAGCTAGAAGGGATGAAGGCTTCCTGTAGGAGGCGTCACCTAAGCTGACCTGGATTCCAACAAGCAGAGGTGGGGCTGAGGGAGTCTGCCTGTCCACCGCCTCCTTCCCATCTTCCACTAGTACAATTCAGTTGAATTCAACAAGCATTTATTAGATGCTTACTATGTTCGTGCTCTGGGGGTACACTGATAAAAACCAAAGAAATAGCTGCCCTCGAGGCTCTTACAGTCTATTAGGGAGGGACACAGACCATGTCCACAGGTGATGTGAGGACGGGTCAGGAAAGGCCTCCAGAAGGCAGCAAGTCCTAAGGTAAAGGAAGCTGCGATTTTTTTAAGAGGGGGAGGGAAGGAAGGTGCACAGGCCAGGCCTGGAAAAGGTGCCGGAGCAGCCTCGACCTTGTAGGAAGTTTGTGGGGAAGGGGATTATTATTGCCCTACAAGTAACGAAGGGTAGGGAGAAGCCCCCTCTGCCTTTTTACTCGCCTTGGGACCAGAATCTCCAGTGACACCCCTGGAGGACCTAGCCATCCTATCTCAAGGCTGTTGCTGTTCAATCATTTTTCAGTCCTGCTCAGCTCTTCATGACCCCATCTGGGGTTTCCTCGGCAAAGATACCGGAGTGGTTTGCCATTGCCTTCCCCAGCTCGTTTTAGAGATGAGGAAACTGAGATACACAGGGTTAAGTGACTTGTCCAGGGTCACACAACTAGTAAATGTCAGAGGCCACATTTGAACTCAAGAAGGTGTCTTCCTGACTCCCAGACCAACACTCTATCCACTGTGCCACCTAACTGCCCCCATCTCAAGGCTAGATGGGATTACCACCCAAAAGGTCTCTAACCTGGACCTACCCTCTCCTACAGGAAGCCCAGAGGACGACTCCAGTGAGCCAGATTATGTGAATGGAGAGGTGGGCCTCATGCAGTAAGAAGGTAAACAGAGGTCTGATGAGTGATAATCATTGCTCATACCCCATGGTCTGAAAGGTTTCTAATGTGCTTATCTCTCATGACTCTTTTGAGTCAGATTTTGAGGGGAGGGAGATACTTGTGATAGCATTGGGTGCAGACCTCCTGGCATGGAAATTCCCTCTGCCTGCCTCAATTAGACTATTTACACAGTTGTAATCCAATGCTACATCATCCCCCCAGCCTTGCTTTCTTTATTCCACATGGGTAAAGAGCTTTGCAAAGCTTTGCTACATATCTCATATGCTGGGAGTGTTATATCAACGCTAGATATTATTATTATCTTTCCACATTTCTTTGTATTCTTCATGTTTGTCATATACTGACTGAGTGACCTTGGACTAGTCACTTACACCCTCAGCACTCCCAGGCAATGCACGAAGACCGTAAGTTACAGGGCAGGGGCTGCATTGGCAGAAGTAGCTTCCTCAGTGGGAGTTCCCCATACCAATGACATCACAGGTTTGATCCAGAAAAACAGTCCTTAAACTAGAATTTGTTTTAGACTGGACGCTATCATCCCTTGGTTGTAGGTTCTGGGTTTTTTTTAATGGCAAGCAATGCTTCTGGGATGGTTTTTGTCCAGACGGGTATTTCATTCTCATCCCTTTACCTCCCTAGCGTATCGTATCGTCCCGGGTGTGGACCGTTCTGTAACTCTAGTGGGAATTCAGGCGTTTCACCTTTCTGTTTCCTCCATGAGCAGATCTGTCTTTTCCTCTTGGTTGAAGGTAGCCAGGCTGAGGAGCAGAAGGAAGCCTGCCGACCCACCCACGGAAGACCTGCCCCACTGATCCCATCCAAGTCACCTCCCAGAGGAAGGATCTTCCTCAAAACCTGACCCACAGGCCACTCCCCTTCCCATCCTTCTTCCTGGAGTGACTCCAGTTGGTCAAAGTGAAACTCAACACTTGGCCCCTGAGATTGGCATATGACAGCACTAAGACACTTGGCTTCTGGTGTGGAAAGAACCCAGGGCCCTACTGTCCAGGCAATTTGACCTCGATGGGTTGGGAAGGCTCCTTCAGGTGAAGGAAGGAGCATGAAATCTCCCCCATCTAGGGCCAAGGACTGCTCTCTCATTGTCCACAGTTCTGTCTTGCTTGCTACCTATCAGAAAGAAGCTCTATTCACAGCATGTATAGTTGAAGGAGTCAAAGGGCCTGGGTTCAAATCCCACCCCTATTGCTTACTTACCTGTGTGCCTTTGGGCAGGTGTCTTACACTCACTGGGCCTCAGTTTTCTCTTCTGTAAAATGGGGGGTTGGACTGAACGGCCTCTAAGATCCTTTTTAGCTCTGAATATGATTCGATGATAAATGTGAAGGCAGACACCAAGACCCTTCTTTGGCTCTTGGGGTCTGCATCCCGAGGGCAGAGCTCTTGGATGTTGTCATTGATGGAGCCGGCTCTGTATTTTCATAAAGCATTACATTCCCGTCATATCTAATATATTAACTATGATCAGAGTACTGGCGACTCACTACCTACCCACGTGACTTCTGGCAATCAGTGAACATTTATTGAGACCGACCCGAGTGCCAGGTGCTTCACCGGGCCTTGGGGCACCACAGTCACTCAGCAGGGCAGGTGGTCACAGACCGTCACCGATCCTCCACCTGCGAGGTTCAGGGAGAAGGCTGGCACCTTCGGACTGCTGGTCAGCTGCACTTTCCACCACTCCCTCCATGGCCCCTTTGGGCACTGGACAAAATCCCTTGAGCCGACGTCAAGGAATCCTCCAGACTGAGGACTGGACATAGTCCCTGTCGCTTCTGGAGGAATGGAGAAATGGAACTTGAAAAGGCGTCCTTTGCCTCTCCCTTCGTTTGGCAGGAGGAATCAGGGGGCACCCAGAGTGGGCCAGGCTGTGGTGGAGAAGCCCCTTCTTCCAGGCTGGGGTTGGAGTGGGGTGAAGCATACCAAGCAGAAACGGTCAGCAGAACGTGTGGGTCACTGGACAAATCACTAGAGCCTAAAGCTAGAGTTGACAGGGACCTTCTTAAAGGAGGCACACAGCCCGATCCACTCACTTTACAGAAGGGGAAACTGTGGCCCAGTGGGAAGCGTCCGAATGGGAAAAGCCACAACCAGGGACAAAAGATGGCATGTCTTTGGGTCCCCTCTCTCCCAACTAAACTCTCACAATAAACGGTTTGGGTGCTAAGCCATAACTTCATTTGTTTCATTGGGAATGGTCAGGCCTTCACCCCATTCATAGACAGATTTGTTACTCCAAGAATCCAGGCTTCTGTGGGTGTGGGAACGTCTCCACTGACAGAGATCACCACCCCTCCAAGCCCCAGCGCACAGCCTGGCGAAAACATTTCATCCTTCGCTGGCCAATGCTCCACGGATGAGGCTCCCTGTACGTGGCCGGCTAGATCCCCAGACCATGGACCCACCGTCCACGGCTTTTCCAGCTAGAGACTGCGCTCCCCGGCCAACCCCTCAGGAACCGGGGTGTCCTCCAGGCCTGGGGAGGCTTTGGGGGACTTCAGGGGCAGGCATATGGGGGAAACGAGCTTATGCGTCAATGGAGCCCCGAGGCAGCGCTGTACCAGGGTCACCCGGACAACAAAAGCCCCCAAAAGCTCTCATGGAGGTCACACTCTAAGGGGAGAGACGGCCACGTGAGGGTGCACAGGGTGGAGGGAACCTCCAGGTGGCTGGGGAGGGAGGCAGTAAGGGGGATGGGACAGGGTGGGGGAGTGGTGAGTGCTTCAGCCACGTCTTTAAGGAAGAGAGGATTCTGGGAGATGTAAGGAGAGCGTGTGTGTGTGTGGGGGGGGGATGGCTTAGTGGATAGGGCGTGGGGCCTGAAATCAGGAAGACCCGAGTTCAAATCCAGCCTGAGACACTTCCTGGCTGTATGACCTGGGTAAGTCACTTCACCGCTGCCTGCCTCGAGTTGACTCATCTGTAAAATGGGGATAATAATGGCACTTCCCTCCTGGGACTGTTGTGAGGAGCAAATGAAATGGTTGCAAACCACTTAGCATGGTGCCTGACACGTAGGAGGTGCTGTATGGATGCTAGCATCATCTTTTACAAATGTAATCACATCGGATTCTCCCAACAAGTGTGTGTGTGTGTGTGTGTGTGTGTGTCTGTACACACAGATGTAAATTTTTTAAAAAATCACACATCTATACGGTAGGCAATAGCAAAAATATCCCCATTTTACAGACGAGAAAAGTGAGGCTCAAAGATTAAATGACTCCTTAGGTCACAAAGATAACAAATTAAAAGTGGCCAACGCCCTTCGCCACCAGTGCCCGACACCAGGCCTGAAACACAAGGACCCCAGGCCCGGGGCCCCTTACCGGTCCCGGACAGAGAGAGCAGGACTGTTGTCTGGCCTGGCATTTTTAGTTCAGATCTCATTTCTCAGAACTTCCCCCAGGCAACCTCCACCTTCCTACCTGTCTGGTCAGAAAGTGGGCTAAGTGGCCTGCACTAATCACCCCAAAGCCACTGCTGAGGAAGCCCGGAGGGGATGCACCCATCAGGCAGGCTCCACCACGTGGGGATTAGAGGCTGACCACTTGTCCCCATGTCATGGTGAGGGCCCTGTTTGTGCAGGGGGGGACCACGCGCTCGACGGCCTGTCACTCTGGGAAGGGTAAGTAGAGGCGCTCAGTGGGCTTCTGTCCTGCCTTCTGGACGAGGCCCTGACCCTCTTGGGCTGCCCTAGAGCACCCACCCAGAGTTCGAAATAGCCACATGTCCTGATGGGGGACAAAATGTTGAGGGGGGGCATGGAAGAGAGGCTAAGAGGTGGCGAAGGGATGTCCCCAGCCCCTTCCCCCCAATTTCCAGCTGCACTTGTGGCCTGGGTGCACGCCTGTGGACGCGCCTCCAGCATCCTTCCTCTGGTAGCAAAGCTGAGGTCATCAGTCAGGCTTAACCTCGCACAGGGCAAGATGCACCTAAGTAGGTCAGAAAGAGCAGACGCTGATGAGCAATCTGACCTTTCTTCACACTGAACAAGGCGGAAGCTGAAGATTTTCTACACATTGCGTGATTACTTTTAGGTAACCGAAACCTCAGAAAACGTCAACAATGGAGGGGACCTTTGAGAACAGATCCAACCCTCCATTTTACGGGGAAGGGCAGGGACTGACCCAAGGTCACACAGCGGGGCAGGGAGGACTGGGACCCCAGGGGCTAACCCGTCCTGTCTTTGCTTCTCAACTCAATTCAACAAGAAATATTTTTTAAGCACCTACGAGGCATTAATGCTTGAACGCCTTATTCCCAGGAGAGTCTGGCATTTCCCCAGCGTGGGGAATGGGCTAGCAGTCTCTCTGCTGAAGGCTGGTACCTCTTCCTTACTGGGAAGGACAAACATTTTAGGCCACTGCCCTTCTGGAAGGGTCCAGCACTTAAAAAGGGGGATGCATTGGCATTCAGGCAGCTGAAAAAACAGCACATGAAAAGCAAATGTGTCCTGTGAAAGCAGAGATAAAGAAACTATTTTCAAGTCAGAAGACTTGGGTTGGGGTGATGCTCTGTCCCTAAGTGCTGTGTGGCCCTAGCCAGGTTCCTCAGCCTCTCTGAGGAGTTAGCCGGACGTTCTCTCTGGATCGTGGGGTCTGTTATGCTGGCCTGGTACCTTACACTCTGCACCGGCCCATCTGGGCTTTCTGAGGATAGAGAGGAGGAATACCACTGGTCAGGGCCCACAAAGTCTGTGGAAGCGGGTGAGGGTGTGCAGAAGGGAAGTCTCTATTTAAGAAAAGCATTTCTAACGACAAGATGCTCCAAATTCTGATATTTTATTTTCAACATTCCAACAGAAACGGGGGTGGGGGGGGAAGCCACGCTGCTGGTCATCATCAGGGCTGGTCAAGTTCAAGGTTAACATCCCTTTGGGGCAAACACTGCGTACTTGTCTCCCGAACTATGCGGCCAAAATTCTAACAGCAAGAGGAGGCCCAGATCCCGCCACGAAGTTAAAATCCTAAGCCAGTTTTTCCCGATGAGAGCCAGGGAGGACGCGGTCCCAGACCCATGGAGGCTGCCTAGGCCGAGGCAGTGCCCGCCACACGTGGGTTTCCAGACTCGCTCTCTAGCTGGCTGTGGGCAGCAGGGTCTTGTGGCAGAGCTTGGCGAGGAGGCCCGCCATCTGCAGCAGGGAGTTCACACCATCCGCTATTTTCATATGCGTGTATCCAATCTCCTGAAAGACCAAGCCCATTCCCGCCTTGTCAGCGGCCGCTCTCACCGCCCTCTTTGCCCTAAAAGCAGGTGCCTCTACTCACCCATCTCAGAGTGACAGGCGGTTAGACCCCCTGAGCATGGCAGGCTACGCTTTTTCAGAGCTCCACCTACCTCCTAACATGATCCCAGCAGGTCTACAAGAGCCCAGGCCATGTGTGGAGAGACCCCAACCAGAAAGGGGGTCCTACAAGAGGAAGGGAGCTTCCCTGCCCCATAACCTCGAGGAGCTCAGCACTCTAGTTTGAGCCCTGGGTCACACAGAATTGGGGGAAAGTATCAGAGGCCATGGCAGCCCAAACTATGAATCCCTTAGTGATGAGATGGGTCACAAACACAAAGGTCCTAAAAAGACTAAATCTATGTGGCTGTCTCTCATTTCTCCCCTCTGCCCTGCCCAAAGAACTGTCCCTCACAATAAAGAACCAAAAAGTGGGGAAAATTTCAGCAAAAATAACCAAGAAATTGCACAAGTTTTTCCAACTCCGGGCCCAACACCCATATCCCCTCCACTTCAGACTGATCCCCCCATGTGGGGGGAGGACAGAAGGAGGAAGAGCTGCTCTGCTGGCCCTGGAGGGTGGGGGTCCTGCTGATTCCCGTTCTCAGGCCCCTTTAACATCCCTACAATGAGATGGACACCCTGGCCCTTTTAGATTCCCACTGACCTTGATAAACTCCAGCTTCAGATACTCGGGCATCTGGAAGGTTTTACACACACGGAAAATGTTGCCGATGACGTCTTCTGGGGAGTAGCCGAGATGCCAAAGGTGGGCAAGGATCTGGGCACAGAAGAGACACGGGCCGCTGGGGGCTTCCGGGAGCGCCCGAGCCTCCCTGGACAGGAGGAGCCAAGCGTGGCACCCAAGTGCACCTTGCAGGCAGTGACACATGGCACATTTCCCCGGTACCTATTCCCATCCAGACAAGGAACACCATGCTTCCCCATCACCTTCCAGCCAAGGCCTGACGGGCTTTAATCAATCAGATTCCCGGCTGGCCCTCATCATCCTCAGCCACAAAGGGCCTTCCAGCCCCGGCCCGGCAATGTTTCTGGGGAAAGGGCACCCAAGGGGAAGGAGGGGGGGAGGGGGTCAAACCTTGTAGGCCTCATCGATGTCGGCACTCACGCAATGCTGCAGCATCTCTTTCACCAGGAGGGGGTGGGGCTCGTCACAAACCTGTGCCAGAGAGAAGCAGAGGGGCCCATAGCAGAGAGGAGGCTTCAGATACACTCTGGCCGGGCAGGGCCCCGGGGCAGCTCCCCGTGGGCCGCCAATGCACCCATCTCTACTTCCCTTTTCATCTAATCCCGAGGCAAATGCAGACGCAATCACCACCACCAAGCCTTAACAGGCATCACCGACAGAGGTGAGAAAGCTCGTTCAACATAATTGAGCATTTCTTGACCAGAAGGAAACCATAGGCTCATGGCTCACAGATCGAGGGCTGGAAGGACCCTCAAGGGTGGTCTAGAGTCATCCCCCCCATTTTACAGATGAGGAAACCGAGGCCTGGAGAGGCTAACAGACTTGCCCAGGCCACATAGCTATGACGCATGGGGGCGGGAGCTGTCCTATTGGGTCCTCACAGCCACCTTGTGAGGTGGGTGTCATCAACATCCCCATCCTGGAGCCTGGGAGCCCGAGGCCCACCGAGGGTGTCTGTGCTGCACAGGGTCACATGGGTGGTAAGCGTCGTCACAGGTAGGACTGAACAATAATAATCTCAGCGCTCAGGCAGCCTTCTACAGCCTGCACAGCGCTTTCAGTCTCTTTTCTCGTCTGATCCTCACGACAACCCTGGGACGTAGGGGCTGTTACCAATCCCATTTTACAGGTGAAGAAACGGAGGCAAACAGAGGTTAAGTGACTTGCCCAGGGTCTCAAAGTTAGTTATCTATGGCAAGATTTGAACCTAGGGCTTCTGCCTCCAGAGCAAGTAGTGTGCT